GACTCAAAATGTCCCATGCCAGTCCATCTCATCTCACCAATGCCTAGTATGTCAATATTTATGCGTTCCATTTCTTCCTTAACAATATCTAATTTTCGGGGCTGCAGGAGAAGATGGCGGTCTCCACAGGAGTGAAAGTACCTCGTAATTTTCATTTGTTGGAAGAACTTGAAGAAGGACAAAAAGGAGTAGGCAATGGTACGGTTAGCTGGGGCCTTGAAGATGATGAAGATATGACAAATACAAGGTGGACAGGAATGATTATTGGACCACCAAAGACAAATTATGAAAACAGAATATATAGCCTAAAAGTAGAATGTGGATCTAAATATCCACAAGCTCCTCCATCAGTTAGATTTGTAACAAAAATTAATATGAATGGAATAAATAATTCCAGTGGAATGGTGGATGCACGAAGCATACCAGTGTTAACAAAATGGCAAAATTCATATAGCATTAAAGTTGTACTTCAAGAATTAAGACGTCTAATGATGTCCAAAGAAAATATGAAGCTTCCACAACCACCAGAAGGACAGACGTACATTTTAGTGAATCTCAAACTTGTCTTAACAACCTTCTACTCATGTTAATGTCTTGATTAAGTATCACAATGCAAAATACCCACACATTAAGTCAAAGAATTCCAGCTGGTAAACATGACCTGGACAGTTGTAAGAATACACTTAGTATATGTACACCCATTATGTTTTCAGGTCACAGGAAGAAAAATGCAGCACATTCTTCTTACCAAGACACTTGTCATTTAAGCATAAACCTGGAGTACTCAAAATAGAACTCAGGTTTACAAGACAGAAGCTGGAAAAGTGTCAGGTTGTTGTGGAATGATGTATGTTTCTGAAAACCAATCTCCAGGAGGATACCATCAAGGGCATGCTTTATCCACCTTGCTTAGTGAGAGAGCTGCAGTTTAAATTCTTTAATGTAGCAGGTACAATGAATATTATTGTTAATTTTTAAACGCAGTGTGGGTGCTGACTAATATCAGTATCAAAAATATGTTCAGAATGGTTTTGATACCTGTATTTATAATAAAACAGTGGGGGAGTTGATGAATTTCTGATAAAAGCCATTTCTGTTGTTACATAGAACATACATGGCAAATATTTGTTTACAGTCTTTGTTTGACAAACCATGCATTTGATCTTAAGTGAAACCGACAAAAAAAATAGGTGTATGGATATGTGATTTTTGAGATGAAAGTCAGTCTTAAATTGTAAATAAATGTGAAAAGTGTCTCAGAAAAAAAAGCACAATATCTAATTTTCCTACATTCATGGTTCTCACATTCCATGTCCCAATCACCAGTGTCTGCTTACAACTGTTCCTCTTCCTTTGTATTTCCATA